AGGAAGGAAGGAAGGAAGGAAGGAAGGAAGGAAGGAAGGAAGGAAGGAAGGATTTCTGATGCTCCCTGCCAGCTTCCCACAAGCAAAGTCAATGGAGAAGCTGGCAGCAAGTTGCAAGTCACTCCCATTCCCACTACCTTTTTGCCCTTGGTCATTCTGTTTCTCTGTTTAGGTAAGGAAATCTCTCTGAAACAATGACTCAACAGGCCACGGGTTGTCTAGTTTGCAATTATACCTCTGATATAACAGTTCCAACCCTCATTAAGCATTATGCTGTTGTCAACACTAGCCTACCATTTGCAGGTTTTTCTGGGAAAAAAAGTTGTTTTTCCTCTGTCCATGTGTTTCCAAATCTCTTGAATGTTTACTGGCAGTCTTTTCCAAGAAATGGTTTCATCAGATACAGACAAGTTGGTTATAGTTCCATAGAATAAACTGACAATAGGTTGTTCCAGGATTTCTACCTGAATAGGGTGGATTCTGTTGTGTATTTACAGTGCTGAAGTCCATGGGGTGTGCGAATACAGACTGGGATGTCCAAAGCACTTGTTTCAAGTAACAAATTTGTATGACAGGAAAACTCTACCTGTTACAAATTATTGTAGTTGCCTTTGTGGGCTTGCAAGGTAATCACTAGATTAGAAAGCCTAGCTTATGTAGAATAGTTTGAGCATGTTTGGGGTAAAATGTGGCTTTTGTTGGGCATGAGGCACACTGAAGAAAATGTGCCAAAAGTGATAGATACTGTCTTTATACTTAGAGGGGAATGCTGCATGTGGCATAGGTATGACTGAGGCTATAATCAACCTTCTCTAGGGTAGTTAAAAAGCACCAGTTAACCAAAGCCATGATGGATGGTAGAATTCAATATCTATGACCATAATATAAGGAAGATTATGACTTGGAAATTAGGAGGACTATATGGTAAAGAGCATGAATGAAATTATTAGAAGAAAAATAGATATATTATGTATTTGTTAAGTTTGTTAGTCTTTTTATAGATAGGATCTTTTTATATAGTCTGACTTTTTAACTAATTAATGTGGGTATTTATATTTTTAACTGTTTTTGGGTTTTACTTTAATTGTGAGCCACCCAGAGTCACCCTTCAGGGGAGATTGTCAGCATACAAATTTAATAAATAAACAAAATAAATAAATAATGTATTTGTTAAGCTAAGAAAAATGGAAAGACTATTTTAGATCTGAATGAGGATGATCTTATCTTGTGGAACTGAGTATCGATATAGTATTAGTATCGATACTCTGAGTATCGAATTATAATTATGAATGAAAGGATTCAAACATATGTTAGAAAGTATGAATTGGTGCCATCTAGATTGTTGTTAGTATGTATGAAAGTAGGAATTCATGGTGTTGTACCTGCATCTTATGCTGCAGTAACTGATGATAGAGATGGCAGAATAGAGAAAGAGATTGACCTTTCAGAGACTCAAGAACAAATGAGAATAGTGATTGTCATTGGGAAATGTCTGTTTGTTTCAAATATGTGGTTTACACACAAGTCTATCCATACATATACATGAAACAGTAATGAATCAAAAGGCATGACTGATTTCGTTGTTTATGAATTAGTGAAGCATATCATGGCAATAAGGGGTTCTGGATGTGGGACAAATCATATTTTGGCAGCTTCAAGAGTGGCTCTTGAGAAAAAATGGACATAGAAAAAAAAAGTGAAAGAAACAGGAATGAAAGATGAATGAGGGCAGGAAGAAAAGTACAACTCTTGTCTGAAAAAATAGTAAAAGATAGATTAATCTCTCAGCACAATGATTGGAAAGAGGATGTAGACACTTAGAACACAGTGAAATAACTTGTATTATGATCTCCCAATCAGAAGTATGTAAAAGGGTGCTTGGTGGAATGATAAAGTCAAATTGACTGTGGATGAGGAAAAAAATTCAGGTAAGAAACAACTGTTGAAAAAACATGAGGAGGAGAGAAACAAATTGTTTAATATAGTGTTTTTCAAACTTGTCAATTTTAAGATGTGTGGACTTCAACTCCCAGAATTCCCCAGCCAGCATGGGGGGAGTTGAAGTCCACACATCTTAAGGTTACCAAGTTTGAAAAAAACTGGTTTAATGTGTATAGATAGAAAACATAGTTACAAAGAATGCAGTTAAGAAAACAAGGTATAGATAAGATTAAAACATAGGGATAAAAATGTATAGGATACTTGCATAGCCATGGCATTGGCATAACCTCTACTCAGCTGTAATTCCTTTTCTCTTAGCTCAAGCTTTCACCTCCTTTCATCTTATATTTCTTACTTGTTTTCTGCACTTTGCATAACTTTGCTTTCCCCAAAAGGGAATTGCATGATAGGTACATATATTTGAAGGTGCTGCTGTGATGGAAGGCATGAGTGGGGAGGATTCTGGAATGGAACTTCAAGGTTGCCGGAAGGGGGAAGAGAGGTTCCAGGGAAAGCACCTTCTCAGCCCGCAGCTGGAGTGTGGGAAAGTCAAGAGGAGACTGGCCCCTCCCTAAGGGCAT